ATATTTTGTGTAATTATTTTATGCACTTTCTCACTTTTCAAGACATTCCCAGTATGTCAATTAAATTCATAATTAAAAAAACAAATAAAATCACTCGCTTCTTTTAATGGTTCTCCACGTAGGAGGCATAATCCAGAAACAGAAACTACACAAAGTTTTACCGCTGCGAGTAATTTCGTAACACCCAATACATGACGTAGATTACAAACCAAACTTGTCAGCAAAGCACGAGTACGAGCAAGTTATCTCCGATATATTTTTCACCAAAATTTACATCTTGAGACTTGACTTCAAGTATTTAATCATTTCACAGTCTTTACCAGAGCTGCAAACTATTTTAGAACGCAATTTCAGTTCAGGTAAATCAGCATACATTCTGATCGCAGTTGTTAGCTGAGCCTCACTGTAGTTCTAACTCGGAATTGTAATCGCATAATCCGATCCAGATCCCACTTCTGATAATATTTGTGGGGGCATAATAATGAAGAAATTAACAAAAAACATTTAAATGAAGACAAACAATTATAACAGTAAAACATTTAGAAGAAAAAGTAATTATTCATCATAGTTCTTTTTAACAGAAGCAGCATGTGTGCTCCAGTGTCAGTCGTGCTTTTCGCTTTCAGAGTTCATAATAGAAAGATGGCTGCAAGTGATCGGCACTACATATATATATATATATATGTATGTCTGTGTGAGTGTAATCATATGTCAGGCTATGTGATTTCATGAGTTTTTTAACTTGCTTTTGAAGATTCGGAGAATATATCCTATATTTTAAATGAGGGGAGGGGGAGTTTGAAGGCACGGTGTATGAAAGCTCTATTTTTCATCTTTCAAGTGTCCGTGCTTGTGTGAGAGAAGTTAAAAGATGTATGGTTTAACAGATGAGCCATGTGGGGTTTCAGATTTTCAATAATAGTATGCTGGAAATTTATTATATATGGCTATCTGTAATTAGTGCAAAAGTTATGCTGGCCTAGCATAAAAAATAAATTGTGCAGAGGTTGTATATTAACCCATTAACCACCAAAACTACATGGAATGATTCTTTTCTCATGAAAATAATAACAAATATTAAATTAAGCATTTATAACATAAATTTACATTGAAAATTTAAAAAATGCTCTTACCTGTGGAAAAAGCGAGTGTTGCGTTCGTGCAACGTCAGCGGAATAAGGCTACGGATGTTTAGTGACTAGGATTATACTCGTGTGCGATGTTTCTTTTGAGTGGAGCACTGGATTACTTTTTAGCTGTATAACATTTTATAAATCTATAAATCACTTTACTTGTAATTAACTTAATATTAAAATATACATCATATTTCTTTGACAAATACAGATTATTTCATTTGAAAGATTCAAGCTTGAAAAGCTCCACTACAATAATGATGTAAAGCTACATTATATACTTTGCATCTATTAAACAGTCTGACTATGGCACTCTTTACAACGAAGTCTTTTGTTATCATCGGACTTTACAATAAAAAATCTACCATCTCCATGCAATGGTTTTTGAATGCTGAATTTACTAGGTCTTCCTGTGTTTGATCTATTTCTGGCTAATTCTACACTTTCAATAGGAGTTTGCAAAAGGAATAATGCAATCTCGCGTCTGAAATCTAAAAGACACTTTTTTATAGTAGAAAATGTGTGATATTTATTAAGTTTAGATACGGTCTCACCTTGTATAATTTATCAGTATTGTCAATTTGACTATTGTCAGCTAAATGCAAATTCTGCTTCATATTCCTGTACTGCAAACATAATATTTATTCTCGTATAATAGGAACAGAAATGTCCTTATCAAGTGACCAAAACATTTCTTCAGGTAAAGAATGATATCCCGTAAGCAATAATATTCCGATAAATCTTTCCATGTAGGCTTCAGATACAATAAATTGTGGGAGATTTTTTTTGCTGAGCATGTATATTTGTCCGTTCTACGAGAAGAGAATAAATGTCTATACCAAAAAGAAAATCGAAAATCTCTCCAGTACTTTTACCTTGTATTTTGTCTTTTATAGTTTCTCTTCTATCTCTTTTCTTATTTTCTTCCTGAGACATAACTGACGGTTCCCTTTTTATCCATTTCAAGTTTTCAGTTTTCTGCTTTTTAAAGATTTTCTTATGACTACCACTGCTTTTAGAAGGCTGAACTTCTTACGTGAATTTCAACTTCTTCAGCAATATTATTGGGTAAAATATCATTATCATTATTTAAAACATTGTTATGCTTCATCTTCATCAGTAGCTTCTGCAATCTGGGGGAAAAACTACATATCAGTCATTCTACTAACATTATCAATATGTTCTTCAAAACTCTTTGAAGGGCTTCTTTTAATGTAAGATACCTCGTTATAGGCATTTTTAAAGCAGCCAGAACATGAATCAGAACATCGAAAGGAATGAGTAAAAAAGGAGTTTACCCATTTCCTGCTGATGTTGCATCAGTGCAATACCTGTTTTCCTTTCCTTCCCAACACAAATATAAACATCTGATTGATGTAATGTTCTAATAAACGGTGACCTTGAATAAAAATATAGACGGCTATTCTTTCGTTAAATATTTTCCGCAAAAATACCGGGTCGACAGTTTTGCTTAAATTTTGTTAAAGTATGAGATTAATTATTATAACCAAAATGATTGTTATATATAATCATTAATTTTTACAGAACCAAGCTTCATATATTCCCTACACAAAATCATCTGCTGGTACAAAATATCTTAGATAGTCTTATTTATATATGTATTTATTTTGACCATTGCGTCAACGCAACACCAGCGGCTAATGGGTTAAGTTGGACATTACACAGAATTCTGGGAAAGCAGAGAACAGATCCTCACATTTCCCAAATCTGGAAATTTGTACTTCCTCAAAGCTAATGCATGAAAATGTTAAAATAATATGCCAAAATTGTGCATAAAAATGGTTCATCATGTGATGACTAATAAATAGATTATGTACAATAATGCTAATACTCATTTAGCCCTGGAAATCACTGCTGTCTGAATCATGTTAAGATTTTATTATCGAGTTTTCACACGTATGAACTTAAAGTATAATAGTGGGAAATTAGAGTTTAAACAAATTATGATTATTTTTGTCTGTGAAGAAATATAAATTTTTTAATAACTAGATATATTTGATTTTAAAAAAAGAAAAAAACATATAATAATAGACTGCAGTCTTCACCCAATCAAAGATGTAAGGTTTTAGAATCAAATTGATTCTTTTATTTCAGTTTAAGAGGATATGAGTCTAATGTGAACTTTTAATACATACTGGGCTATTATGTACAGCATGATTATAATTAGTTACCCTATTTAGACCTACGTGGAGCCGATTCTGGTAGACCTGTTTCATTGAAATTTGATATATATGCTTATGGACCATGGGAAAGAGGAATTTTCAATAAAACTTCAAATTTCACCAATGGATGACACTTTTCATGTAATGAAGGAATACAAGTTTGAAGCATTTTAAAAAAGCCAATAGTCAGTGTCATAAAATCATTCTTCACCATCCCTTTCCAGAAGAAAATCAAACTTTACTGCTAAATAGTAGTTTTATCAAAACGGCAGTAATGTTTCAACTGCACTGTGATAGTGTTAGTGCTTGAAAGATTTGTGAAAGGGTCTGTGTTAAGGCAGGGTTTGAAAAAGATTATTACTAAATTTGAAAAGACTGGGGAGTTGTGTGTGTTGCAAGGAAGAGAACAGAAATGGACTTTAAATGAATCTGTGGAAAAAGTGTCTGATTCCCAATATTCTTCAGCAAGTGCTCGAGGGGTGTTGTGTGGCTTGTCTCTTGTCAACAGTGATCTATTGTAAAGTGGTATCCATCCAAATTCTGCAAGAGCTGCATCCTGCAGACCCAGACAGATGCAGTACACCAATGCATGATTGTTAACAGTGCATGGCTGTGGAACATTTTGTGGTTGAAGAAGTCAGATTTTACCCTAGCTGGAGCAGTTAATGTTCAAAATTGTTGTATATGGGATACCGCAAGTCCTAATGTGTATAAATGGTCTGCTGTGGTTTTACTGTTGATTTCATTTTGTTCCCTTTTTCTTTGAGGCAAACACTCAAGACCCTTAAAGATGTTTCATCGTAAGTGCCAGTTACTGCAATCTTCTTCAGCAGCAAGTCATTCCTACCTTACAAGAACAAGAATCTTTAGGGACTACTGTCTTCATGCAAGCAGTCATTGTCTCATGCCCACTTCGAAGATGAACGGGTAATTTGGAGAAGTTTTCCTACTGCCTGGCTTCCTCATTCTCTTGGCTTGAATCATTGTGTATGGAAAAAGCACATTGACTTTTCCTGAATTGAAAGCAAACATAACAGATGTTGCTGCAGTTGATCTGAAAGCCCTTCTCACTGCACTGAACATGTGATTGAGGCAACTGGAATGCACATTGAACAAATGCTGTAATTAAAAAAGTTTCCAATTTTTTTTTTCTTCGTGTACCCCCTTCTTACATGGTGGACGAAATTTAAACTATTATTTTTTATTGCAGTTTTCTTTTCTCCATGGTCCCTGTAACTTATATACCAAGTTTCAATGAAATAGGTATATGAAAATGGGCTCTACAGAGATCTAAAAGGGTAACTTTAATAATAACCATCTATATATTTTCTCTTATTTCTGGTGTATTATTACTATTTGCTTTTTCATTAGATGTTCCTCTGAAAGAGTATTAAAATATTTTAAAATTTTATTTTCCTTGTTTTAATTATTGTATACCTGTTATCTGCAGCTACTCTAAGCTTTAAGTTGTTTATTACTGTATTTTTTCACTGCTTTTGTATTGTGTATGTATACATTCAGAGTTCTGAAGAAATTTTGAATTAAGCATATTCTGCTTATCTCTTCTGATTAAAGCTGCAGTCTTAAAATTTTCAGTTGAAATTGCTGATGTATTAATAAATTTACATTGTAATAATTTGCACTTTTGTGAGGATTTTATTATATCTTTGTTTTATATTTTAAGGAAATTGTTTTGTGGCGTAAAGGAGAACTTACTAGGAAGACTATTCAGCAGTCAGTGCCTGTAGAGAACAAGTAGTAATATATCCGTTTTAAGTCCTCATATTGTGATTATCAGTTATTCTTCTGTATAAAAGTGTTTGGACCAATCAGTGGAAAGTGTGACTGACTGTATGGTTCTCTTTAACGTCCACCATTTTAGAAGGCCTGGAGCTGTTTGAAAGCAAAGTGCAAGTCCTAAAGTCAAAAGTTGTTGAACTTCCAATATCAGTTTCAAACTGTACATAATGCCAGTGTAAATTTATCTTTGAAATAATATATGGGAGAATAGTTTTTAAATAGCCCATTCACATTTCCTCTGAAATTTATATGCTTGTATATATGTCTAACTGAAATTTTGAGGATTATTCTCTTTTCTTTACAATTAATTTTCAGTGGTTTGATATCCTTTAAATTATATTGATGGATGAAGGGAAGTGCTAGGGGTTTTCCTATGTGGCATTAAAGATGATTTAGATATTCCATATAAATTTAACAATTGCATGTTTAAAATTTTTTTCTTTTGTATGCACTGTGCAGAATCCATCATTCTCTTTGGCTGCTGATTTGTACTGCACAAAACTGCACATGTATCCACTAAACATAGTGTAAAACTATAGATTACTTTGTATATTATGCCATAAATATTAAAATATCTTTGTTTAATTTATTTTAGAAATTTCTTAATGAAGTATGTTATTTGTAATGGCATTACTAGTAGTGTTAAAGTAGCACTAGATATTTGTGTGTTAATTGTATAAAACAGGTTTAAAACTCTTTTGCTTGCAGGTAATTGTTTAATCATTGCATGATAAAGATTTATTAGAATTTAGTTTTATTTTGTTCTAATGTATGCTTTTGTTTCATATATAAAACTCCTTAATTTGGTTCAGAATAGCACGTGTGTGGTATTAACTGAAATGCCTAAATCTGTTTTGTAAAATAAAAACTGCCAAACGTAATTCAACTTTCAGTGAAACTTGTTTTGAAATTGAAATTACTGGTGATATATTCAGTAAAAGTATATTATATTATTTTTCTTATTGGCTTTTAGTTTCTTTGTTCTTTGACTATGCATCATTCTCTTCGGTACTTATTTTTTATAACAGCATTTTTCACTGTGAATTAGCATGTATGTATACTTGTAATAACTATATAATTGTAGCATTTTCAAAATTTTAATGTGTTTGAGAGAGAATTGAGTTGTATGATGCCCCCCCCATGTTGGTAAACAATTTTTATGAAGAGTATATATATAAGCATGTGCCATTTTAACACTGAAATTTTGGTCTTTCTTGTGATTTAGCAGGGAAAACAGTAACTAATGATAGTGCAAAAATGTTATTCTTTTTGTTTATAAAAGTATTTTATAAAGATAAAAGCCCAATACAATGTAAAAGTATTGTTAAATGAATTTCTCTTTGAAAGCTGGCTGATGTTACATACCTAATCAGCTTGCTTCAGAGATATACTTTGAAATTGTTTCATGGGTTCAGTTATATGTTGGGCAATTAAACTAGTTATAACAGTGCTGTTGTATAAGCCTTATTAATTCATCATTGTTAATTTTAAGCATATTTAAGTAAGGAAGTAATTTTAGTTTTATTAAAAAACTTTTTAAGCATTATATTGTTACAACAGTTAATGTGCATTTTTGAAATGTTCTTATTTAGTGTGCTTGATTGATTAATTCCTAGTATGAATTATTTGTCATCTTTCTTAATTTTTATCTTTTAAAAATTAATACTCTCTATATTTTTGATGAATTAGTAAGGTTTCTTTCTGTATAGCCTTTTGCTGTATTATAAGATAAATGTGTTATTTTTGTGAATAAATATATATGATTATTGTTGCCTTGTCATTTTTGGTATATGTTATAAGCACCATTTTTGTATTATAAACATTTTGATCTTTTAGTATGAATTTGAAGATTTTTAGAGGAATATTTTAAACTGATTAAAAATACAGCAGGCAAATGCTGCATTAGTGATTATGGCAAAAGGGTTAATATCTGTAAAGCACTACCCATTATTGAGTATAAAGTATTTCATAGTGTAAAAAGTTTAACATAGTTAAAGAATTATACTTTAACTGCTATTGCCTTATGAAATTTTATGTGTGAAGGATATAATTTTTCTCATCCCATGTATGAACTAAAAATAAAATGAAAATTGATTGAATTTGATTTTGTACTGTTTATAAATAAAATAAGGAATATTTAAGTTTATTAGTGTTCAAGTATTCATATATTTTTACTCTTGTGATGTTGAAAATTTTTTTATGCTGAAATTTGAAAGAAATGTGAAATAAAATAATACATTTGTAGATGTTTGCACTCACTAAAAAAGAAACCTATTAAACGTTTTAGTGACTTTGAGCCTTTAAATGTCTTTCATAATTGTGATAATAAAAATTTCATATCATTTTCAGTAATGACCGTTATTAAATATTTGTTCTACAACTATATGAAATATAAAATTTTTATAAATAAATGTAGGATTTTTATTTTGTAAATTATTTAAATTTATTACAGATGGCTTTACTTTGGTACTTTTGATACTATTGTTATTATTCTGGCATGCAGCAGGGAATTCCTGTTCCTGCTCTTTCCAGATTCCTGAGTGAATCCCGAACTGGGCCTGACGGAAGTCTAAAAATAGTATTCTCCAGATGAAGTATAAGCTGAGGTGGGATAAACTTTGAAGCCCATTGCTTCCTGCAGAAATACTGAAGGCAGAATGATAATCGAAGTTTTTGGTTTCTGCTTTCATAACACAAGCTTGTTATACTGGAAAGTAAGTAATTCACTGAGCTAATTAAATCATTTATCATCTTCACAACACAACTTTTATATTTTACAAAAAACAAGTTTGAATACTGCCCATGAGAACCAGTGAAAGCACACTACTAACTGATGTACAGATATGGTTACAGTGACATAGTTTCTGTACAGTTTTAGGTGTATGAAATAATGCAAGAATCAAACTAAATAAGAGTTCAAAAGTGTAGTTATGGTTAAACTGCCAGATATGTATTGCAGTTTGATGTAGTATTTTTAATAGATAATCTTATTTTAAAATTAAATTTTATAGTTATAAAATCATGGCTACTAATTCAGTATCTAGAGTTTAGAAAAGCTCAGAGAGGATAAAAATACAGAGCTAATAAGAGTTTAATGTGTTTCAGAGTACCAAGAGGCCATAAAATGATGCAAAGCAACTACTCAAATGTAACTAGAAATGTCTTCCTGTGATAGTAGCAACCATGAAACCTAAGTGCATGTTCTGAGTGGTGTAATAAGAACGCCTATTCTATGATCACTGGATCTCATCTATTATAACGCATACAATATTAACTAAAAAGAATAGCTATCGTCTGCCACCTCCAACGTTATGGAGAAAAGAATTCTGTGGTCCTCCATTGATATGCAGTTGGGTTCATTTGACTTCATAGAGAGGGGAAAAGTCTTCAGGCAGCTTTAGTCAACCTGCAGACAAGTAATGTAGTTTATGGCATGTGGCTTAAGTTCTAAGAATATTAATTTGGACAGGTTTCTCCATTATTTTGCTGTGAACAGGTCAACTAGAGATTATTTTGCTGCTCAAAGCAGTCCCTGAATTTACTGTCCTTGGTATACAAACAAATGATTTTAAAAATGACATAATGGGGGGGGGATTACGTTTAGTTTTGGAGTAAATTTTTATTCCCAATATTTTTAAATTATAGCGCTATTTTGCCGCTTTTTTTTTCCTCTCAAAATCCTGGATGGCATCATAGAAGTTTCTCGAGTTTCTATGATGTAGGTAGAAAGAGGGATTTCTTAAATCTGTAAGCATTTATAGATTCTTACATGTGCAATAAGCATTTTTTGTCCTAAAATATTTTTTAAATTATTTTTATTTAAGAAATTCTTCGACAATAGTTTGCAATATTTGGGAACACCAGCGGCCGATCGGTAAAACCGCTGAACACTGATAGTTCGGCCTGAGGTTCGAATCCCACGAACTGGCTGGCTGCATGGGCGTTTTTGTGGTTTTCCCGTGTGTAATGTGTATATGAGCCAGTTTCCTTTAGAAAGTCCTCCACGAAGGCATCCCTCCCCTTAGGCAAATAGCCCTAGTGTGCTTTGCCGTATTCTCAATACACACACCAACACCATATTTTAGAATAAAGTGAAACAATTTAAAGGGACTGCTCTTCCACCTAGCTTGAGAAATATACTCTGCTAGCTGTAGGCTGACTGACTGGCAGATAAAGTTCAAATGCTGTGGACTAGTGATATGATCCACAAGCAGAAAACCATAAAGCACAAAATACCTCAAATTATGTATTTTAATGAAATGGTATATGAAATTAGCAATTAGGATATTAAGATATATTAATGTAGTATTATTTTATGTATTTATAACCACGCGGAATATAAGAAATCGAATGATTTTAAGTTGACAATATATGGCATTGGCTTGTTATACGCAAGTTACTTCAAAGAAATCTTTAGTATGACATATTGTTCATGTGATCATGTATATTAATAGTTTCAGGAAAACTTTGCATCCCTCTATGCATGGTATGAGTAGTTATACCATCCAGTTGGCAAAAAAGATATCTGTGGTTTTAAATCCGATATAAGCCCACTGATTTCTCACATTATGGATATGATGAAAAATTTAACAGTAGCACCCTAACTAAAATGTGAGTCATTTGGTCAAATAAAGCTAATGGCTTTCTCCAGTCACCCTTTAAGTGGAGAAAATTTAAAGAAATATCGAATTCTGCCATGCATGGTGTCAAGCTGTAAATGGTTAGCATGTTCAGCTGGCAACTGGAAGATCTGTAGTTAAGAGTTCCAACAAGGGAATGGTTGAATTCTTCACTTTTCCTATTGAATTATTTATCAGATAAATACGTTTATTAAAACAATATTTTTATGATTATTCATTTACATGGCCACTAATGTTTTTGACTAATCTTTATGAAATTATCAATTGGAGAAAAACTAAGCCACTTTATTTTCGAAGCAAAAATATTAGCTAAACAATAAATAATTACAGAATTCTACTGAATTTTTCTCTGGCTATGCAAATGAATAGAAAGATATCAACATATAAATTCACATATTTGCGCATATTATCACATATTATGACAATCATATTATTCAGATATGATTGTGAAATCATATTTCAAAATATGGGATAAAAGTTTGCAGATTTTAGCAAATTAACATTTTGGAAGAATCGGAATGACTTTATTTTCCCCTAAATGTAAGGGGGGAATATGCTAATGTCAGTTAAGGGAAATTTAAATTTTTTCCTTTCCAAGAGCTGAAAACAAATTTCTCTCAGCTCTGAAGTCTCAGGGAATATCTGAATCATAATTAAAAAGAACCTTTTGTTCATTATAATGATGTCCTGAGGCATCATTAAAATGTACTTTCTTTTTTCACTTTGAGACAAAATTGTATGACTCATGCTTATAAAAACAGATTCTGAGTTCTTGGAAATGACGTCTCGCAATGTAAAAGGAAAGAGATCAAGTTTGTATGACGCATGTTTCTAAAAATAATTCTGAGTTCTTGAAAATAGCGTTTCACAATGTAAAAGGAAAGAATTCAACAAAACGGTTTTTTTTTTTTTTTAAATTCTGATTCAGATATTCTCTGAGAGATTTCTCAAGCTGATAAAACTATCCATTTGTTTTAAGATTGATCAGTATCTTAAAATTGTATAAACATTCTAAGCTTCTCTTCAAATCACTACGTGCTATATAAAGATTCTATACAACGTGGTCCCTCCAGTCTGGATTCCTTCCTAACAGAAAGGTTTCAGTTGTTTTTCCCCTTCGCTTTTCACCTCAAAGAATACTTTTACAAGGTGTCCAAGATTCTTTTAAGAAGAGATTGCTATGAAAGACTAAAAGAAATGGGACTTAATACATTTATTGCTATCCAAGATTGGATAAAAGAAATTATAAAAAAAAAAGGGATCGGTTAAAGGAAAAAGCACATTGGAAAAGATACCATTTCCTTCACCAGACCCATTTTTTCGGCTCCTTTATGATGTTGTAGATAGAAAGGAGGAGATATATTTTTCCTTTTTTAATTCCCGTCGTTTGAATGCTGACGCATCCAAGTCAATCCCAAATCCTAAAGATGGTGAATGAAGAAATTAGTTACTTTTCTCCAGGATACAGCAATCTGATGGCATATTCAACGGTTTGTGTGAGCATTCCATACATCCAGGGTAAAAGTCCCAAGTGTATTCTTTCTTAGAAATGCTTCTTCATACGTAAAGACATATCTATTCATTGGATCCGATAAGGCGTTGGAGGGTCCTTGAATCAAAGAAAGAAAGTTATTCCCCCCATCAAAAAGTACTTGTCATGCAGTTAACTTGCAGGAAGTCTCCATAGGTATTAATTTGAGAAGATCCTTAGTATTGCGATATATTCTTCCTTGATGGATATAGGCTCTCACCAAGTAATAGTCGTTGTATTTAAAGTAAAACAGCATCTGTGAGTTTTGCTCTCTTAGTTGCTTAGAACGGACTGGGTAAGAGAGATAAATGAAGTCAATCAATACCTTTTATGCCGGACTGTCGCTGTTTAAGAGGCGACGTCGCCGCCTCTTGACAAGTAAGCCAACATGGGCGCAGAACGTGGAAAAGTCCGGATTGGTTACAGGAGGATGGAGATGGGGGAGGGGGTGACCAGTGTCACAGGACGAAGGAGAAGCAATGACGAGCGCTGAAAACAGGAGATGCTCAACGTAGGTGGGAATCTGATGAATGTTGTTCGGAATGTTTAGGCGGCTAAAAACATAGTACATAACATGATAAAGTATTTTTGTTCATCATCTGATAAGTACATATGAAAGTACAGATACACAAAATAATCGGTAACAAAATATAAAATACATAATAGTGGAAAATACAAAATGAAGTTATATACACTATGTACAGGAATCAGAAAATGCTGCGAATTATGTCGGAAAATTTGAGTTACGGGTGAGGTGGGCCGCGTAAGGCCTGAGTTTGCAATCTTCTCTAAGAGGGATATAGTCAAAGACTTTAAAGTGCTGCAGATGCACACAGTTAAGAGCCTTGCTGAAGAAGTTTAAATTCATCTTGTGTAGAAATTTATCTACAGTATCGAGCTTGAGGTCTCGATGAAGCGTATGATTCGAAACGTAGAAATGGGCATTAGTGATGATACGAAGATACTTGTTTTGTA